ATGTTGCATGCATATTAGGCATACTTAAGTGCATTACATTTATCATTTTTCACATGCATAAGTTTTTGCAGCTTTCAGAGTCAAGTTTCGACTTCATGACGAAAGATTCTCGATTCGAAAACTCTTTTAAAGATCGATGGTGGTTGCTTGACTCATCAGTGAGAAGCTACACCTCAACCGAATTGACATATCTATAGATCTCAGAATCAATATCAGATGGGTTCGAGAGCCAATTCAGAAAAAATCCAGTTCAACTCAACTCAATAATGAGTAGTAGGTTTCCAGTTAATATTCTCAAGCCAGATTTCCATTCCACAACAGAAGATATCCAGCCGTCAGAATTTATCATTGGGCTTTCCCGTAAACGGGGAGTCATTCAAAGATCATCTCACCTGGTTCAGATTTCTCTTAGGGAAACCACCTGAGAATTAAGATCAGCTTAGAAGGAAGTCATTTCTTTATTTATTTGTAGCATAACTCAAGGCTAGAAGGGTTATATGCCAACCAAAGACCTTCGAGTTTGACTACGCTCAGCTCCAAAGCATATCATTTGTAACATAACTCAAGGCTAGAAGGGTTATCTGCTAACAAAAGACCTTCAAGTTTGACTACGCTCAGCTCAAAGGCACATTATTTGCAGCATAACTGAAGTCAAGAAGGGTTAACTACCATCAAAAGACCTTCGAGTTCAACTATGCTCAGCTCAGAGGCACATCATTTGCAGCATAGCTTAAGTCGAGAAGGGCTATCTGCCGTCAAAAGACCTTCGAGTTCGACTACGTCAACTCAAAGGCACATCATTTACAGCATAACTTAAGTCGAGAAGGGCTATCTGCCATCAAAAGACCTTCGAGTTCGACTACGCTCAGCTCCAAGGCATATCATTTGTAGCATAACTCAATGCTAGAAGGGTTATCTGCCAACAAAAGACTTACGAGTTCGACTATGCTCAGCTCAAAGGCACATCATTTTCATCATATCTTAAGTCGATAAGGGTTATCTGCCATCAAAAGACCTTCGAGTTCGACTACACTCAGCTCCAAGGAACATCATTTACAGTATAACTTAAGGCTAGAAGGGTTATCTACCAACAAAAGTCCTTCGAGTTCGATTACGCTCAGCTCAAAGGCACATCATTTGCAGCATAGCTTAAGTCGAGAAGGGTTATCAGCCATCAAAAGACCTTCGAGTTCAACTACGCTCAGCTCTAAGGCACATCATTTGCAGCATATCTTAAGTCGAGAAAGACTATCTGCCATAAAAAGACCTTTGAGTTCGACTACGCTCAGCTCCAAGGCATATCATTTGCAACATAACTCAAGGCTAGAAGGGTTACCTGCCAACAAAAGACCTTCGAGTTTGACTACGCTCAGCCCCCAGGTACATCATTTGCAGATAACTCAAGGCTAGAAGGGTTATCTACCAACAAAAGATCTTCGAGTTCGACTACGCTCACCTTCAAGGCACATCATTTGCAGCATAGCTCAAGTCGAGAAGGGTTATTTGTCATCAAAGACCTTCGATTTCGATTACATTCAGCTCAAGGGCATGTCAAATTTATAGTATAGCTTAAGTCGAGAAAAATTATCTGTCAATAAAAATTGTCGAGTTCGATTCCATTCAGCTCGATGACACATCATTCACACTACTTACTGGTTGCAGTCGAGGTTTTCAAGTCGAGAAGAAAACTTGGGTTAGTCGTGCCTTAGTGACAAGGAACCGTTTTCCGACAGCATAGCTTAAGTCGAGAAAAGCTATCTGTCAACGAAGACTTTTCGAGTTCAATTTCATTCAGCTTGAAGGTCTATCAAACCACATGGTGGATTCAAAGAATTATTTTCTAGTCGAATGTTTAAACCAAGGTTTTTAAACCGAGAATAAGAACGAAGTTGACTATAATTTGGCAACGAGAAGCCGCATTCCGATTCAAATTTCGAACTACGGCTTCAATTCCATATCATTTCAAGATGGACTCGACTTTGCGATGGAGGAGACATCTGCAACTCAATTCGACAGGAGTTATTCTTTAACTCCACCGAACGAAAATTTGTGTCTTTTTATCTTTGTCCGATTTTTCGTTCCACGAAAAAAGACAAAGAGGGGCAGCTGTAGACACTAATTTTCGTCCATATTTCTTTATTTTATTTTATTTTATTTTACATATATATATCTATATATATATTATATAGTTTGTAAACGGTTTTTTGAAAATATATATATAATATATAGATTTTAAAACACTTTAGAAAACTATATAATATATAATTTTTAAAACATTTTAGAAAATATATATAATATATAGTTTTTAAAATCATTTTGAAAACTTATATAATATATAGTTTTTTAAAACATTTTTTAAAAACTTATATAATATATAGTTTTTGAAAACATTTTTGAAAACTTATATAATATATAATTTTTGAAAACATTTTTTGAAAATTATATAGTTTTTTTAAAAAACATTTTTGAAAATTTATATATAATATATAGTTTTTGAAAAAAAACATTTTAAAAATTTTATATTATATAGTTTAAAAAAATATTTTTTTATATTTATTTATTTATTATTATTATTATTATTAATATTTATTATTATTATTATTATTTGTTAATTACATATTTTTTATTTTTTTTGTTTTAAGTCCAAAATAGGGTCCAAACAGTCCAATAACTGGGCTTGAACCAGCCCAGCAGTAAGATAGAGTTTCGCCAAGTCCAGCGTCGTATGCCAAGGTTGCAAAAGGTTAGGGTTTTATTCAACCCTCATCACACTGCAAAGTTAGGAAACCAAACGATCAACAGTGCCAACGACCGGTCGAGATCCCCGGGACTAACCCATCCCGGGGTGACCGGTCACAACGGCCACGAGCGCCCCTATTTTGGGACCAAACCAACCAACACCGGGGCTATAAAAGCCCCCGGTAAGGCCATGCAAAAAAACGGAGGGAATCATCGAAGCCCCACAAACACCAGAGAACAGACATCGAACAACACACTGCCACCAAAAGAACCATCAACACTGGGAACACAACCAACGACATCAACAATACAAAATTATAACATCCACAAATACAAGCCAAAGGCTGAAGCCCCTCAGTAAACAAACCAAAAAGCACACAAAAAAACCCAAAAAACACAAAGGCAACCCCGATCTAAGCCCGGAGAAGAGAAAGAGGCCGGAAAATCGAAAGGATATCACGAAAAAGGGTGAGAACCGAAGTTCCTTTTTTAGATCTACGAGTGCTGGGGTCTATTTTGGCGATTCGGAGACCGGATTTGGTATCGGGGAGGTCGGGAGAACGTATTGGGCTAGTTTGGTTTTTTTTTCGACCGTGGAGGTGACGGCCGGAGCGATGGGCATCGACGGTGGCGGCGGTCGGCGTCCTATCGGTGGGAACCTGTTAGAGAGAGGGCAGAGAGAATTTGAGTTCTCTCCCCCTTTGAAAGAGAAGAGAAATATGTGAAATGAGGGGGAATCGGTATTTCTGGGCTTTATATAACCCATGAAAACCGACCCGCGCGTGACTCGACCCGTTTCTAAGGTCCGCGCGTTTCTGAGATAAAAAGGAGAAATTCCCTTTTGGTCCCTCGAGCTTTGTAAGGATTCATTTTGGCCCCTAATTCGAATTTAACTCTGATTTCTCTTTTAATTTTATTCCCCAATTTTATTTTCTTTTAAAATGGTCCCTTTTCTTATTTTCATGTTTTATTTATTTCTGATATTTTATTTTAATTTCGTATATATATATATGTATATATGTACATTTATTATTATTACTAATTATTTACTTCTTATTCTTTTTCCTTTTATTTTATTTTATCTTATATATATTTTTGGTTTATTTAATATTTTTTATTTTTTGCCCTTAATTTATTTTGATTTTTTCCTTTTTTTCTTTCTTTCTTTTGATTTATTTATTTATTCCCTCTAACATTTTTTTACTTTATAGAGAATTTTCAATCGATCATAGGTAAGCGATTCGAATCGAATGTTTTAAGTTTTAATTTAAATTTCCAATTTTCGTAAATAAAGACAATCGCAAAATTAATTAGTATCGAAAGGGCGATTCAAGGGTGTTAATCCTTCTTTGATCGTAATCGACTCCTGAACCCGACACATTTATGGTAAAACGCAGATAAGGTAAGATGGTGTCAGATCCACCTAAAGTGATCGGTGGCGACTCCAATTCGATTTTCCCAAGTCGAAGCTCAATTCCGGGCCCAACCGAAAGACGGTCGCGACACTATTATTCATCCGTGGTTCCTTGAAGTCTCTAGTGTTCTATATCATCCAATCAACTACAATCTATTGACATGATCACTAACATGTTCATATGTTATACCAACTAAATTTGTTATCTAACAATATTTACCTTATCGGCTGGCAAATAGTTATTATTACCCTAGACTTGACATTGGCATTAAGGGCATGAATGTAAATTACCATACAAGGTTGTAGTGGGACTCTCTCTTTTTCAAAGACGATCGTTATTCTCACTTTTACATCTACTGAACAATTGTTTATCGCTCTCCAATCAAATCAAAAGATACAAACCGTTAGAAATTCAACCCCATTTCTCCCACCAATAATTTTATTTTGTATCAAATTATGATCTTCTAAAATCGAAGAATAATTTTTTAAAAAAAATAAATGTTTATGTCAAACTTATAGTTGTATTCAACTATTTTCACCCGAGTTCGGTAACTTATATGTATAAGAGAATACAATTAATGGAATGACTTCTCATCTAAAAGCATTTAGCTTGCCATATTGGAAAACTATTAATAATCAACTCACTGAAACTAATTCAATCAACAATGGAAAAAACATGATAAGAACTTGTAAATTAACCATAGTGCTAATTAAGCTAATGTACTGGATAATAATTGCTTGGATGATGGAAGCATAATTATAAATAAATATAAGGGAGGGAAAAAGAAACACATACTTAACGCTAATAGTATGTTAAAGGAAGAAAATAATGCTATATAGCAAGAAAAAGAAGAGCTAAAGCACTTTCAAGGGACCCACTGCTTGTCCTCATATTACCCCTCCATTGATGTGATCTTCATTTCACCTCTTTCCTTTTGCTTTCTTCTCTGTGTAGGGGAGAAAAGAAAAAACCCTTCATGAAAAACAATGATGTCAATAAACAAAGGGAAAGAAATTGCTCAAGGGTCTTCGAGATCAGCTGCTGTTGTTGTCACTGCAGCCGCTGATCAGCAAAATCCGCCGCCGTTGAGCCGATATGAGTCGCAGAAGAGACGGGACTGGATCACTTTCGGTCAGTACTTAAGGAACCGAAGGCCACCTGTGGCTCTTTCTCAGTGTAACGCTAATCATGTTATCGATTTCCTTCGTTATCTCGATCAGTTCGGAAAGACTAAGGTGCACTTACAAGGTTGCATGTTCTTCGGCCAACCTGAGCCACCGGGGCCTTGTACCTGCTCTCTTAGACAAGCTTGGGGTAGCCTAGATGCTCTTATCGGCCGACTCCGTGCCGCTTATGAAGAGAACGGTGGATCGCCGGAGACCAACCCTTTCGCCAATGCTATGATACGTATTTACCTTCGTGAAGTGAGGGATTCTCAAGCTAAAGCTAGGGGAATTCCTTATAAGAAGAAGAAGAAGAAGCGGAATCCATTGAAGTCTAATGAAGATAGCTCAAGCTTCCCTACTCAGCAACCTTGACATGGATTTCCCTTATAAAACTGGTAATAAATTATTGCTTTTCCTTGGGCACTTAAGATCTACTACTAATTGCATGGAACTTGGACTTCATGGGAATGAAATACAAGAAAATAATTGAACCTTTTACCGTAACCAATAGATAAAATACTGAGATCTGTCAAGCCTATACACAATATGAACATAGTTAGGCCATATATGCTCTTTCCCTTTCATAATAAACCCTAGAGGCAAGGGGATTTGGAAACCCTAATTTTGTATAGTAATTTACTTTAAGAAAGACAAGAAACAATAACAGTAATCACTAACTTTAACTTAATACCAATAGCTAACATTAATTGCTATGATCATAATGAACACCTCTTTTTTAAAATTTCTTCTTTCTATCTCCCTCACATGCAAATGTCTTGTATCCAAATTTAATCCAACAATATAATATCTCACCTCCGATAATCCCGTCACCCTCTTATTAAAATTACATAACATTAATGTGAATTATAGTTTATATCAAGTATATAATCTATTTTAGGATTGTGCACTATTTTGTGCCCTCCATGAATTGCCATGGATATAATACAAATGTCATTTTCATGATTTTAAGAAAAGTTATATGATTGAAGATGTACAGAGAGTAGGACAAACCCACATTATTATTGGATTCTCTGTTTATCTGATACCGATAATAATTAATAACACAATTTAGGTAAATTATCACTAAGGAACCTATTAAAGGATCTCGATAATAAAAATGAATGTTGTTCTCTATAAAGGTATCTGGTTCAACTAGTTATGTTTGTTCATAATCTTTCTTAATGATTTACAACACACACATCCGCGGATGTAACTATTTGAACCTAAGATCTCTAGGAAGAACAACACTTTAGCCACTGAGACCACTTGATGATCACCCAATATTATTTAAGAAAATAAGTTATCACTATGATATATTACATAAAAGCTCTTGAACTTTATAGATTTATAATGTATACCTTTGATCTTTTAATTCGAATTGTCATTATATCATTTTCCGTTTATGTGATACTACTTCTATATATTTAGATATGCAGTTGACCATTGTTTTTCTGAAACCATCAGAAAAGGTGCTAATTATTTTCCCTATTGTAGTAACCTATAAACGCTTTTATTTCATTTGGATAACTTCAGGCACAAAATAAAATTTCAAGAGTTTGATCAGTTTACAACTCCCAGAAATCACAACCAATTCCTCCTTGGATCAATATTCTGGGTGTTATATATATATAAAAGCTGGAATTGAAGAGGTAAGTTGCTTCTGTCTTGTGTTATATTTCCTTTCACATTTCAGTATGTTAATAAGAACTGTTTGGTCCAAGTTTGTCCTAGGAACTATTCTCCATGTGTAACTACATTGATGCCAATTAATCACTATTATACTATTGAACTTCCAACTATTTTAATTTTTTTTATGAATTTGTCTAAAAAGTTGAATGTTACTGATACTAGGAGGATGGTACCATAAATTATCATAAGGAAAATTAATGATTGATTTGGTTGGCTCTCAATTCATATGATATTACTGAATATGTAATCCTTTATATGTTTCTAAAACGTATAAAATATACACATTTTTTGTATGCAGAAATATATATGAATATTGTATTTTAAATAAATTGAATAATATATTAACATTTAACCAATTTGAAATTTGAATCTTAATATTTACAATCAATTATTTAACTATCACAGCCAAATAAAATATAAGAGATTATTGGAGAAATTTTTAGAAAACTTTTTGATAGAACAATTTTAGAAATGTTTTTCCCATTTCATAGTTCACACTGGTATCCCCCACTCATATAATATCTTTGTCCCACCTCTTCATATTGTCCTTTGATTTATTCAACATCGATCATTGGGTTCCTCTTCAAGGTTAATCAATAATTACATAAGATAGTAATTAATTACTGTAATTACTCAAAGGTCAACTTCTTCCACCATTTTTTATTGCTTCTATTTCAAAATCCTTTGAGCTTTTGATCTTATAGGGTAAGTCTTATTGTCTGTGATTCATTATTTTATATTGAAAAATAGCTTCTGAATACATATAAAAAGTTTATTATTTGGTACATAGACATTGAATATATTAGGTGACGTTTTGTTATTAGTCCCTGTACTATCTATAAGTTATGAATTTAGTCCATCTACTCTAATTTAGTCAGTTTTGCACTTTGTGCTTTTTGAATTCTAAAAGTTTCAATCATTACCTAAATAATACACTAATAATATAACTAAATTAATGTACCTAATTGGAGAATATATTAAATAAATCTACAACTTGCATATGATATTGAAATTAATAGCAAAATTTGATTTAACACCTTTCACTAATGTTATTTGGTTTATAACCAAAATTTTAGAAATTAGAAGGTATAAGGGCTAAAAATTATCCAAATTTGATTACAAGAACCAAATTCACAACTTAATCATTATAATAGAACAATTTGGCCAAATTTTTATGGTAGAATAAGGATTTAACGACATTTTTGGACTTTAGCATCCTTTTTTCTTTTACCCTTTGATCATTTGGCCAAACTTGATTTTGATCTTATTTCCATATGGGTTTGAGAAACATTAGTACTATTTACATCTGCTCTTACAGATTAAATCCTTATCTTTCATTTTCTATTCTTTTGATTCATGATGAAGCTGAACTTTGTTGGTCATTTGTGTTGGTAAATCTAGGATGATCATTTCCTTGTACAAGAAACCTACACATTGATAATATACTCCTACATTGGAATATTTCATCATTGGAAGTGATAATGTGACTAAGTTTATTGAAAAGGTCATCATAATTAATTATGACCATAATGTACATTTTACAATCTGATTCAGAAATTATATAATAAATGGAATGCCCAAGACTATCAACATTTGTTATAGATGAAGTGAAACGTCCAAAATTACCTATTCTCTCTTTAGACATCAACAAATTGATACGATAGAATAACTAGAGATAATATCATCAATTTAAAATATTTAATAAGAGCAAACATCATGGCCCTCCATATTTTATTTTCTTATAAAGAGAACACAATACAGGAATCATCGAGTAAAAAATGATTACTTGTATACAAAATTTCTTTAAAAAAATGATGATTTCCTTAAACAAATAATCCAGTTGCTTATGAAATCTTCTGTTTTCTCTAGTTGGATGCAGCAGAGCCATTGTAGTTATCCTCTTGCTTTTCATCTGTCGGAAAAGTTAAATATGATAATGTAAGACGTATATTAACATCTAACACTTACGTTCGAATTCGCTTTATGTCCCATATAATTGCATTTCTTCTCAAATGAGACTTAAATTATTTCATAAAAAAATATGGAAAGAGTATATTTGAACTTTGATGAAGGTTTTTGGAGCTTAACTTCCATTTTATGGCTGAGGGAAGAGATTCAAATAATCACATCAAAAGGCATATATGCGTCCCTACTTATCGAACCAAATACTCTATTTTTTTCCTTCTCAAGATAAAGTAATAGTCTGAATCATTCATGTACGTAACATATGAGATTCAATTCCTTGAAATTGCATTAAAATAGAACCCCAAACACATAGGTGACGCCAGGAATTTGTATTGGGTTGCAGAAAAGATTAAAATTTTGTGTAAATTGACTAAATTGAATTATTATATTTTTGGAGGGGTTAAAGTTGTAAAATTTCCATTTAACTACAGAGATAAAATGTATTTAATTAAATAATTATTATTTTGGTTGGGTTAAATAGCAATTGTATGAATTTTAAAAAGTTAAAAAGAATTAAATTGAATTATTGTTCCTTGCCTCTCGGCAAAATTTGAGAAATAGTTCTCGTTAGAAGGAAAAAAAAACCTTGGGAAATGAGGATGGTTTAAGGTCATTACTATAGTGGAGACTGGACTAGTCACCGCCTACTAACGACATTCCAGAAGTCATCAATCATGTAGATCACTTTCTTTTTGGTTTTTGTAATTTTAGGATTAAAATGAAAGAAATGAAAGTTAAAGGATTAAAACATGAAAATACGCGATATAACGATTTATATAAATTGTCAAAGGAGTGATGAGCATGATTTTTCTGTCTTTTCTATTTTCAATATGTATATATGATCCCAAATCAAGTTGAGACACAAAATGGGCTACGTACATCAATTTGGGTTGGACCAAATGAAGTTGAGACACAATATTACATTCGGTTTTATTGGCCCAATACTCCATGCGGGTCAATTATTTTGGGTTTTAGGGAAGCTTAATTTTTATTTTGAGAAATACGACAAAAGCTACAGTGGACATGGAACTTATCACCTCGAGGGACGAGTTTATCAAAAAAATATTTTTTAAAAAATAACCAAAAATTATAATTTTTATATTTAAAAACTTCAAATTCAAAAAAACTAACCATTTTATAGCCGTTGGTCAACGAGAAATTGGCCAACGGTCACTTGGAACTCGTCACCTGAAAGTGACGAGTTCGACCATATATTTAAATCAACTAGCCATTTATAGCCGTTGAGGCTAAGGTTATAATTAAGGGTTTGGGGTTTTGATTTTTCACCAAACCCTAAATCCAAAAAAATTACAAAAAAATCATATTTTCTGTGAAAATCCCAAAAAATGGTTTACATTTTTATATGGACATGGGCTATCTAATACTGTTATAGTCCTGGGCTTGGTACCGATTTCCATTTTTACGCCAATTACCACAGCCCCGATCGAGTTTCCTCTGGCTGCAAGGTAATTTTTTAACTTCATTTATTTAATTTATTTAATTTGATTAATTTAATTATATTTTATTTGATTATAATATTTTTTAAATTTGAAGTATTTTAGATGATGTCATAAAATAGTTGAGACGAAGTTGTCGGGTGTCACTGCATAAGATATTCGGATGAGGATCGACATCGTTAGTTGATATGTGGTATACATTTGTTTATAATCTTTTTTTTTTTGAAATTTTTTAACTTTATATACTAACTTTAACATTTAATATTTATAGTTTTCTTGGCTTCCGTATGTGGACTACGAGATCAACCAGTTATTGCCAGCGTAATTTTTTGAGGGGTTTGAGTTATGTTGTGTTGTGATGCTATTATTACAATTTGCGATTGTTGAGTGGCATACCACTGATAGAGTAATGCGATTGTTTGTGTCGCATCAATCGATTCCTACGCAAATTATTGATATGGACGCGTTCTATATCATTGATACGCGTGAGAAACATACCAAAAATTGGCATGTAAAGCACACTTACTACATTAGGCTATGGAATCAGCATCAACTTTGGTCCCTTCGCATTACGACATTACATCGTTAGACCTAGATTTCGATCATTCTCTCTATCTCCGAAATTATGAAGCAAATGGGAAACCATATATCACGACACTGAAAAAGAGGGGAGAATGGAATATCATCATGCCACATGCATCAATTCTGTAACATCCTCAATATCAGGCTAGTGACCTAAAGGTGAATTTTGAAAGCATTATGTTCAATTTCGAAATAAGTTAAAAGTTTAGAATTTTAATTGAGAATTTTGAGGTTGGATTTAATAGTAAAGTTTGAAAGTAATAAGGGTATTATGGTCTTTTCTAAGAGAAGATTTTTATTTTTCTTTTAGGGTATATAAAAACGTGGGAAATGAGGGAAATGAGTTTCCAGAGTTTTCTTCTTCTCCTTTCTTCTTCACGCGTGGAAGCCAAGAGCAAAGGTGAGAATTTTTATTAGTTGATTATTATTTGAATTCTAAGTTGGTTTTGATTCTTTGGAAAGTAAGAAAGCTTAAAGAAGTCTAAAGATAAGTGAAAACTCAAAGATGAAGAGGTTAGAAGAGATTAAAGAAAATGGGTTTTTAAGTGAAATTTTGAATAAGAAGGTTTAAATGAATTAGGAGGATGAATTTGACTTCTCATCTATAAGAATAAGAAGTTAGAAGTGCTAGAATTAAGTTTGGATAACATGGAAAATTGGGTATGATTATTGATTTCCATATGAAAGATGGAATTTAGAGGTTAAAGATGAGATAAATGAATATTAATGAGTTTAAGTATATATATGTAAGTTAGGAATATGAAAGGGGTTGAAATATGAAGGATTTAATCCAAAAAGAATGAATTTTCGGGTTCAAAAAGAGGATTCTGGGCAGAGTGCATCGATGCATATTCATAGTGCATCGATGCATCAAGGTTAAAACCCATGCACTCTTTTAAAAATAAAAACATAGAATGCAATTAGTGCATCGATGCATAAGGCATGCATCGATGCATCCCAGTAATAAACAAACATCGAATGTATTTTATGCATGTGCATCGGTGCACCGATAGGGAATGCATCGATACACTGTGCAGTGCATCGATGCATACCTTCATTAAAA